CTGTTCCTCCTTCAAGAAGCATCACACCCCAGAACAAGGAGAAGGTTTAAAACAAAAAGTCATATAAAAACAGCATAAGCTAAGTCCTAGAGGAGAGATAATACTGAGAGACCCAAAGGGAAAACAGGGCATTTAGCTGAGAGAATCTAGAAAAACTGCACAGAGATGTTTGAGGTGGGCCATGAGGTGTGAGTTGATTTTGTTGGGTGAAGCTCTGGGTCAGGAAGACCATTGTTTTCCCTTGTTTCCCTCCTTCCCCTCATCCTTGCCCTCCTCCTCCTCCTTTTTTTTTTTTTTTTAAATTTTATTTATTTATTTGACAGAAAAAGAGAGGGAAAGGACAAGTAGGCAGAGCGAGAGGGAGAAGGAGGCTCCCTGCTGAGCAAGGAGGCTGATGCGGGGCTCGATCCCAGGACCCTGGGATCATGACCTGAGCTGAAGGTAGACGCTTAACCGACTGAGCCACCCAGGTGCCCCTCTTCCTCCTCCTTTTAACGCTGCCATCTGAGGAACCGCGGGCCACAGGATAGTGAGGATTCAGCCATGGGCTCCACGGCTTTAGGATCCAGTCTTGTATCTCAAAGTGGGAACTGCCTCTGAGTCACTAAGTTTTTACTCCGACTTTCCATCAGTGACTTTGTTTATCTTCCCTCCTTGGCAGCCTTCACGTCAGGCGCAGAAGAATCTGTGTCAGCCCGCACAGTCATGTTATTAAGCAGTGGATGAAAGAACAAACAGCCAAGAAAGACGCTAAGGGCAACTTCTGCCACAAGAAGAAACATGCCGGTCAGAGGAAAAGTAAAGGGGCACATCAGGGGAAACCAGAAATCCACAGCCATGAAAGTTCTTATTAAAGTGTTTGCAAACGAACCTACACAGACAGTTCCTCAACTGGACTTGGCCATGGTTGCTTATAAATTTATCTCGTGAATGTTCCTTATTGGGAGTCAACAGGGCAAAACAAACTATACGTCTTAAAGGAAAAATTATACAGGATACAAATGTAGCCAATAATATACTCATCTGAAAATGAAATGAAAAGATAGTACTTCTCTTTATATCCTATTTTAAGAGCAGCATACAGATCTAATTTCTCCCAACTTTTATTATGAAGGTTTGCAAACCTACAGAGAAGTTGAAAGATTGGCACAATGAACACTTGTATACCTTTCACGTAGATTAATAATTGTTAATATTTTGCCACATTTGTTTTCTCTCTCTTTTCTCTCTTTGCATGCACGTGTGTATAAAACATTTTATATATAAATACATATTTTTTTTTGCTAAACCGTTTGATAGTAAGTTGCAAATGTCATGATACTTCTAACTTTTTTTTAGTGTTACAACTTGACATCCCCAAGAATAAAGACCTTTTGTATATAATCACACTATCAGCTTTATACCTAAATATATATACCTAATATATATTAGGTATTTTTATTTTGAACAATTTTTACTTCATATCTATAACTAATTACTGAATTCCTACTGTGAACAAGGCCCTTTTTCAAGACAATTCCAGACTGTTCCTCCTTCAAGAAGCATCACAC